CAAAGGGGTGTATAACCAGTGAAGATTTTTAATGTTGGGAGAGACATTAAATGATTTTAAATGATCATTGGAAGGAGTCAATAAAAGTGAAAGATATAGTTGATGATATAGCAATAAGAAGATATGTGCTAGCTTCAGGCCTTTAGGGAGGCTGGGGAGAATGGACTGATTCCAGGGAAGAAATACCTTTTATAAATGCAAATTCTGAGCCAATACTCCCCTCTAGACATACTATTTCATTAGGTCTAGAATCTGTTTTCAAGAAGTATCATGGTTCAAGTGATCTCTAGACCACATTACGATAAACACTTCTCTTTTTTCTATTTCCCCCCATCTATTAAGCCACTCTTATTTTCTTTTCTTTTCCACACAGTCTAGAATCTAGGTCTTGTGATTCATGGTCTAGTATTTGTAAGGTAAGAAAGATATCAGAAGTGATGTGGCACTAGAAGTGGGTGACAATGATGGTGAAATTCAGTTGGGATGGAGGAAGTAAAGGAAATGAAAAGTTCTGATAGCTGTCTGTATACTTGCTTGCATTAAAAAAAAAACCTTGTAGGTCTTTTTTAAATAGGTAGATGCCAGACATTATCTCAACAGATTCTGATTTAGTAATTCTTGAGTGGAGCCTGGACATGTATATATTTACATCTATATATTTTTTAATCTAGGCTGAGACTAATGCACAGCCCAGATTCATAACCACCACATGGGATTTTTATGTGATCAGTAAAGATCACTCAGCTTTTTTGAAGACCTTGGAGTGAAAAAACTAGTAAGCCAGGAGTCATTTGTCATCTGAATTTATTATAATTATAGTTTTCCTTAGGCAACCAAGTGAATTAGTTACTTTCCAAACATCATGGTTGCTTTCTTGAAAAAGATTGTGGCAATCCTACAGGCTTCTCTGGAAAAGTCCACATGGGTGTTATATGAAAAATTATACATAGTTTGGGTGGGAGTTGGTTTTCTTCTTATTGTTGTTCTTTCCAATACAGAAATAAAGGGATATTATGAGAAGAAAGGAGATACTTTTTTTAAAGGGTGTAGAACAACTACTAAGAAGGACTTTAGGGTATATTAGAAGAACTCAAGACTGTGCATCAGAAAACCTAGGTTCTAGAACCAGCTCCCTCTTATTTAGCTCTGTGATCTTCAACTTGCCATAAAAATTTCTCAAATTAACTATATTTGCATACAATACATAATATATTTGACATGCTCTTCATCCCCTTGGTTTTGCACATTGAAGGAGAAACCCTGTTGTGCCTAACTTGGTAATTGTGGTTTTTGTTGTTGTGAATAAATAGTTTTCAGGTGAGTGGGTTTGAAACATCAAAGCATTTTGGCAGATTCCGTCTCATTCTTCAGATAGTATGACCTTTATAGAGCATGGTGAAATAATGAAGCAGTTCTTAAAATACTTTTATTTTTATTACTATTTTTTAAGATTTTATTTGTTTTTAGAGAGAAGGGAAAGGAGGGAAGAAGAGAGGGAAAGAAACATCATCCGTTGTCTCTCACTCCCCCAACCAGGGACATGGTCCATAACGCAGACATGTGCCCTGACTACGAATCAAACCAGTAACCTGTGGGTTTGCAGAACAACACCCAACCCACTGAGCCATACCAATCAGGGCCTGATGCCCTTTTAAAAAATATACATTTTATTGATTATGCTATTACAATTGTCCCATTCCCCCCTTCATTCCCCTCCACCCTGCACACCCCCTCCCACCCACATTCCCTTCCTTTAATTCATGTCCATGTGTCATAAATTCTTTAGCTTTTACATTTCCCATTCTTGCCCTTCCCCTGTCTATATTCTACCTACAATCTATGCTACTTCTCTTTATATTTTCCCCCTTGCTCCTCCTCCCACTCCCCTGTTGCTAACCTTCCATGTGATCTCCATTTCTGCGGTTCTATTCCTATTCTAGTTGTTTGCTTAGTTGGTTTTTGGTTTTTTAGGTGTGTTTGTTAGTAACTGTGAATTTGTTGTCATTTTACTATACTTGTTTTTTATCCTCTTTTTCTTAGATAAGTCCCTTTAGCATTTCATAAAATAAGAGCTTGGTGATGAACTTCTTTAACTTGACCTTATCTGAGAAGCACTTTATCTGCCCTTCCATTCTAAATGAAAGCCTTGCTGGATAAACAATCTTGGATGTAGGTCCTTGCCTTTCATGACTTGGAATACTTCTTTTCAGCTCCTTCTCTTTTGAGAAATCAGCTGAAAGTCTGATGGGAACTCCTTTGTAGGTTACTGTCCCCTGTCTCTTGCTGCTTCTAGGATTCTCTCCTTCATTTTAATCTTGGCTAATGTAATTATGATGTGCCTTATGTTCCTCTTTGGGTCCAACTACTTGGGGACTCTCTGAGCTTCCTGGACTTCCTGGAAGTCTATTTCCTTTGCCACATTGGGGAAGTTTTCTTTTATTATTTATTCAAATAAGTTTTCCACTTGTTGCTCTTCCTCTTCCCCTTTTGGTACTCCCATAATTCGGATGTTGGAATGTTTAAAGATGTCCTGGAGGTTCCTAAGCCTCTCCTCGTTTTTTTGAATTCTTGTTACTTCATTCTTTTCTGTTTGGTCATTTCTTTCTTCCATCTGGTCCACTCCATTGATTTGAGTCCCAGTTTCCTTTCCATCACTATTGGTTCCCTGTGCATTTTCCTTAATTTCACTTAGCATTACCTTCATTTTTTCATCTAATTTGTGACCAAATTCAACCAATTCTCTGAGCATCCTGATCACCAGTACTTTGAACTGTGCATCTGATAGGTTGGCTCTCTCTTCATTGTTTACTTGTATTTGCTGTGGAGCTTTGATCTGTTCTTCTGTTTGGGCCATTTTTTTTGTCTTGTCATGCCTGTTACATGTGAGGAGCAGAGCCTTAGGTGTTCACCAGGGTGGGGCAACCTACATCACTGGGTTGTGCTGCTGTATGTGGAGAGGGCACAATGGCACTTGTTCTGCTCTCTGTTGGATCTCAGTCCCCTCCACTGCTTCCCCCAAGCACACTGAGCCTTTCTGGTGCTGATTCCCATGTGGGTGGGCTTGTATACATTCTAGGACCCTGTGGGTCTCTCCAATGAACTCTTCTGTGAAGCTGGGAGTCTCTCCCTGCACCTCAACACCCACAGGTGTTTTCAATTGGTGTTTTGAGGCTTTATTTCCCAGCACTGGGATCCTGGGTTGCGCGGTCTGTCTCAATCCCCAATTTTGCCTGGTTTATCTACACGTGAATGTGGGACAGCCTAGTCAGCCACCTTGTGCACACATGCCTCGCTTCACAATTGCTGCCTGCTGGGTCTGCCCATTGCCACCCACTAGGTACCGGGGTCTGCCAGCCACCACCTGTGCACCCAGGGTCTGCCTGCTGCCATCTTGAGTGCCTGAGGTGCCTTTTGCACCTGGTGCTATCGCTTTTTGTGCTGTGACCCCTCTCCGTCCAGCTATCCAACTCTGCCCCACTTAGCGGTCTGGATGAATGTGTCTATTTTATCTCCTTGGTTGTCTGACTTCCACAGTTCAATTTTCTGTTAGTTCTGGTTGTTGTTTTGTTTCTAAATTGTTGTTGTCCTTATTTTGGTTGTGTGAGGAGGCATAGTGTGTCTACCTATGCCTCCATCTTGGCCGGAAGTCTGAACAACAATAAATTTTTTTAATAAAGAGTTCCACATCCTATTGTGCTCTGTCTTCATGAATAAATAATTTATATGTCTATTTACAGACTATAGATCCACAGGTGACTGACACAGCTGGATTTTTTCTGCTTATTCTGGTGCATGTCATTACAGGTACTCAACTTGAAATTGTATCCTACAAGACCCCTTCCAGGAGACAGATTGGAAGTTGTAGTGAAACATATACATGATGGAGGGATGCTTTTTGTTAAAAAAAAAAGTAGTAGCCAACTTGAACAAAGCAATATTCTGAGAGTGGCTGGCTGCCTCATGGAAGCAGAAATCATTCTTATTGTTACCCATTGGTTCCTGGTACTCTCATCAGAGATGAGGCACCTTTAATACTTGGGAGTGACTGCTCTCCATCAGGCATGGAAAAACCAGCTTTCGGGGACTGACATGGATACTGAAGCTATTAGTACTGGTATATTTCCTGACTGTCCTGCTGGAAGTGAACAAAGCTTTGATGACATTACAACTTAAGAACTGCAAGGTGTAGTGATCCTAGTGGAGGACTTCATCCAGGTACTCAGAAAAAGGTACACAGTCTCAAAAAATGAAAAGAGTAAAATCTCCTTTACATATTAGAAGGGTCATGTTAAAGAGAGCAGAGGAGAGATCTCAGGAGTTCCAGCTTGGGGCTGAATTTATCCCCTGAGAGAGTAAGAATAAGCCCTCAATAGGGGTTCTCTGCATCATCTCTTCTCATCTCTCTCTCAGAATCACTTGAAGACTTTAGAATTTAAAATGCTATTGCCCATACCATTTAAATTTTTTATTGATTGATTTTTAGAGAGAAAGAGAAAGGAAGGGAGAGAGAGAAACATCAATTTCTTGTTCCACTTATTTACTCATTCACTGGTTACTTCATGTTTGTGGGTTCTCATATGAACCCACAACCTTGGTGTACGGGAACAACACTAACCAACTGAGCTACCCAGTCAAGGCCTCACACCAATTCCGATAACATTGAATTTCACCAAATCTCTGGGATTGGGAGCTAAACATTGTCATCTTTTTAAAATTTCTCAAGTGTGAAGCTAGGGCTAAAAATCACTGAGCTCTCTTAAACTTGCTATATACCACAAAAAGTGGAGTTGTACCACAGAAGAGAGAAGTCCTGCATTAAATTCCTCAATGTAATAGAAGAGTAAGGATGTCACAGTTAAGTCATCCAACCTTTAAAGCTTATGTGTTTGAAGACTTCTCTCTAAACTGTCTGCCATCCTAACCTAAATCAAAAGCTCCAAGTTTTGGGTTCAACCTTAATACCATGCATTGACAAGATTCTTTTTTCTTCTTTTCCTCAGTTATGTTTTCTCAGAATGCTATACTTTTTAAGGAAGGGAACGTGGAAAAGAAGGAAATGAATAATGGATCACACATAATCAGGTCCCAGGTAAGTTTAGCTATACTCTTCTCTAAAATGCTATTGTAGTTCTCAGAATGGGAGCACTGTTATTTTTCAATTCTCAGAAAGTGTTAAGCCCCAAAGTGCCAAAGCCCTCGAAACTCTTGTGACAGATGATAATCTCTATAGGATGTTTCCCGTTTACCTTATATAACCCTTCATAGCTCTTTTCCTCCCCAGCATTTTTACCAGTCAAGTACTCATGTTGGTACTAGATGTTGTAAAGAAAAAAAAAAGCCATGGGCTGTCTTATAATCACCCTTCACTTAACACAGCTCACTAGAATTCAAACAACACTGTAAGCAATGAATGATGCCCAGGTCACTGGGACTGCTTGGAACTAATGGCATTATTAAGTATGCCTGAGGACATCTGCTGCTACAAGTTAATTTTTATCCAGAACCTGTTATATCTTTTCCAAAACCTGTTTAAGCCTATTGTTACAAGGCTATAATTTGATTAGTATTATGTAAACTGAAAAGATATAACTTTGTTTCTATGAAAACCAGTTGGATGTTTTGGAAAGATTCAGTAAATACTATTTTTTAAAAATTGCTACCAAATTAAGTGTGAGCAAAATTGTAAAACACTGATGGGAAAATCATAAAAATCTCAGAGGACTCTACAACTACATTATTTCCTAAGTGTCATTTGCTTATTCCACTTTCATAAAACAGAAACTGATGTATTATGGATATGGATGCTCAGTCATTATAATCACTCTCATAGAAAAAACTTAGCTTTACATCAGAAGATGAGCCAATGAATATACATGTTGATATTTTAAATTAAAATAAAATGTTTGATATCTTTTATGGATCTCTGACCAGAGTTTTGCATAATACACTAGACATCAGTCTTAGTTGCTTCATGTAGAAAGCATGAAGCAACTCTGTTATTCCAAATTCTATGAGGTAATCATTATCTGTACATAGCAAATAAACTAATTGGAGAAGGTTTTTAAAAGTCTATATAACACAATATTCAGAAGTATAAGTATAATGTTAGGTGCTGGTATGCATGCGAAAGACAACAAATACAAGAGGTACTCAGCCCCGGCTGATGTAGCTCAATGAATTGAGAGCTGACCTGAAAACCAAAGCATCACTGGTTTGATTCCCAGTTTAGGGCACAGGCCTGGGTTCTGAGCCAGGTCCCCAGTCGGGGCCGTATGAGAGGCAACCACACATTGATGTTTTTCCCCCTCTCTTTCTCCCTCCCTTCCCCTGTCTCTAAAAACAAAATAAATAAAATCTTTTTAAAAATAATTTTTAAAAAAGATGTACTCAGAAAAGGGATAAATCTGATTGAGACTGGAGGGAAGAGGGAAGACTTCATGAAGGAGGTAGAGTATGAATTTGTGCTGATACCAGGTAGGGTTTGGATTTGAGAGAAAACTAAACCATTGCCAACAGGAAATAATACTTGAGCAAGAACTGAGACAATGAGAAGACCATCAGCTAGAGCTGAGCATTTACTTGGTACATTAGTGCTTTAGGATCCTTGGTCTGTAAGGAATAGATTCATTCAGTTTATTCTTTTTTTTTTTTTTATTGATCTTTTAGAGAGAGAGAGAGGTTTTAGAGCAACACATTGACTTGTTGTTCCACTTATTTATGCATTCATTGGTTGACTCTTGTGTGTGCCCTGACCAGGGATTGAACCCACAACCTTGGTGTATCAGATTGATGCTCTAACCAAATTGAGCTACTTGGCCAGGGCATCTTTCAGTTAACTCTTAATTGTAAGGCTCCCACAGACAGGAGTAAAAAGACACCAAGAACTAATTTGCCTCTTGGCACTCTAGCCAGAGCGGTTTGTTTTAATTTTCCAGAACCATTTACTGTATTAAGAAAGAAGATGGTTCATTCATTCAACAAATATTTTTTGAGCAGCTACTGTGTGTCAGAAATTATGCTTGGCACTAGATATATATCCATTAGCAAAACCGACATGGTCCTAAACCCCAAACCCTTACAGTCTAACAGAGACAGACATTCAGCAAATATACTAATAAAATTGATATGTGTATTATACAAAATAAAGACTAAGCTGCTGTGAATGTGCACGAGGGAATCAGGGAAGAATTCTCTGGGAAAGCAAAATTTAACATGAGATGTGAAGGATATGTAGAATTTATAAAAGGAAATTGAAAAGAGCATGTTAGGCATGTGGGAAATAAATATCAAGTGTAAAAACCATGGGTATATTTGAGAAATTGAAAGAAGGCCAGTGTGGTTGGAGTGGAAGGAGGAAGAGAATCACTAGAGGTAAGCTTGGAGAAGCATGCAGGGGCCAAGTATGCAGCGCCTTTGTCCATGGTAAGTTTGGGTTTTCTTCTAAGTGCAGGGAAAAGCCTTTGAGGGAATTTAAGCAAGATATAACGTAAGTGACTGAATTCTACTTTTAAAAAATCACCCTGGGATGTACTGTGTAATAAGTGATCTTGTGAGAGGCAAGAATGGAAAGGGGACAGAACTACCTAGGAAGTTATCACACTTCTGTATTCTAGAAGACAGAAAATGGTATCTTAAAACTAGAAAATGGAGAGAAACACATGGATTTGAAAGCTTTGCTTTGGGAAATAGTAGGCATTAGCAAGAAGGGTAAAGGCAAAGGAAGAAAAAAGAGGATTTCAAAAAATGTACCCCAAGAAATGGCAGGGTAATGATAAATCAGACTATGTCACCCCTGCTCAAAATGTGTAGATCCTGTTTCACCCAGAGTAAAAGCTGAAGTCCTTATGATGGCCCAAATAAGTACTACAGACTGCTGAATCTGGACCTTCTGACTATCATTTCCTTTCCCCCTTGCTCACTACACTCTAGCCACCCTGGCCTCATTCTTCTTCCCTGACTATGCCACACACACTATTGATTTAGGACCTTTGTACTAATAACTTTTCAAGTCTTTCCTCAAATGTCACCTCTTCAGTGATATCTATTCAATATTGTTTTTTAATTATTTAAATGATATGAGAGTCTTTCCCATTACAAATTGTAAAAAGCTGAAAAGCAAGCATTATATTATGCACATTTGTACCATGTTTGCTGTGTATAATACACAACCACATTTTTGTGCACATTATACACAGGATTATTATTTCCATGTATAATGCGCATCCTTATATTTTCCTCAAAAATTTGGGCAAAAATGTATGCATTATACTTGGCAAAATACAGAATGCCTGTCTTGAAATATGATAAAAAGACAGGTACCAATTGTTGTTTCAAAATTTTATATTATATTTTATTGATTATGCTATTACAGTTGTCTCAATTTTTTCTTTGCTTTATTCCCCTCCACCCCGTACCCCTTCTTCCACCAGCATTCCCCCACCTTAGTTCATGTCTATGGGTCATACATGTAAGTTCTGTGGCTTCTCCATTTCCTACACTGTTCTTAACCTCCCCCTCTCTATTTTGTACCTACCATTTCTGCTTCTTATTCTCTGTACCTTTTCCCCCATTCTCCCCTCACCCCCTCTCTGCTGATAACCCTCCATGTGATCTCCATTTCTGTGAATCTGTTCCTGTTTCAGTTGTTTGCTTAGTTTGTTTTTGTTAGTTTTTTTAGGTTCAGTTGTTTATAGTTGTGATGTTGTTGTTGTTTTACTGTTCATATTTTTATCTTCTTTTTCTTAGATAAATCCCTTTAACATTTCAGAAAATAAGAGCTTGGTGATGATGAACTCCTATAACTTGACTTTATCTGGGAAGCACTTTATCTGCCCTTCCATTCTAAATGATAGCTTTGCTGGACAGAGAAATCTTGGATGTAGCTCCTTGCCTTTCATGACTTCAAATACTTCTTTCCAGCCCCTTCATGCTTGCAAGGTTTCTTTTGAGAAATCAGCTGACAGTCTGATGGGAACTCCTTTGTAGGTAACTGTCTCCTTTCCTCTTACTGCTTTTAAGATTCTCTCTTTATCTTTAATCTTGGGTAACTTAATGATGATGTGCTTTGGTGTGTTCTCTTTGGGTCCAACTTCTTTGGGACTCTCTGGGCTTCCTGGACTTCCTGGAAGTCTGTTTCCTTTGACAGCTTGGGGAATTTCTCCTTCATTATTTGTTCAAATAAGTTTTCAATTTCTTGCTCTTCCTCTTCTTCTGGCACCCCTATGATTTGGATGTTGGAACATTTAAAGCTGTCCTAGAGGTTCCTAAGTCTCTCCTCATTTTTTTTGAATTGTTGTTTCTTCATTCTGTTCTGGTTGAATGTTTATTTTTTCCTTCTGCTCCAAACCATTGGTTTGAGTCTGGTTTCCTTCCCATCACTGTTAGTTCCCTGTACATTTTCCTTTATATCACTTTGCATAGCCTTCATTTTTTTCCATTTTGTGACCATACTCAACCATTTTTGTGAGCATCCTGATGACCAGTGTTTTGAACTCTGCATCTGATAGGTTGGCTATCTCTTCATCACTTAGTTGTATTTTTTCTGGAGCTTTGATCTGTTCTTTCATTTGTCTTTGTCTTGGCACACCTGTTACATTGTAAGGAGTGGAGCCTTAGGTATTCACCAGGGCAGGGCAACCCATGTTGTTGAGTTATGGTGCTCTATGTGGGAGAAGGATTGGAGAAGGAATAATGCTGCCTGCCCAGCTCTCAGCCAACTTTCAGCCACTTCCTCCACTATCCACAGCCAAATTGGGACTGATTACTGGCCTGTCTAGTGCTGATTCCTGGGTGGGTAGTTTTGTGTATGTTCTAGGACCCTATGGGTCTCTCCAACAAACTATCCTGTGAGGCTGGGAGTTTTTCCTGCTGCTGCAACCCCCACAGGTTTTTTTCAGTCAGAGGTTTTGAGGCTTTATTTTTCTTGCATGGGAACGCTGGGTTGTGTGGTCTGTCTCACTCCCCAGTTGTTCCACCTGGTTTATCCACACAAAAATGTGGGACCACATGATCTGCCAGCCACCGCCTCTCCCAGTCCACCAGCTGTCCTTTTGCCCCAAGTCCTCTTCACCTGGTTGCCAGTTATGCCCC